ACCTGTACATGGCGAAATCTTGGTTCCATCGAGGAAGTACTTTGAGAAGGCAAAAAATGGGTTGCCTGGGCCGCACCTCACAAATGCTGCCCAGCAGCGCAAAGGCGAAAGGATAACAGCAAGCAAACTTAGGCTCACAAAGCACGTCCCCGACCAACCCAAACAGGCTGCGAATGATTCACCAGCTGAAACAAACGGGGTGGGTCTCAGAACCATTCGAAAGCCTCATGAGATTGTCTCCGGTTGGGGGGAGCCTCTCAAAAAGACAACGTTCTCCCTTTTAAGCACAAGTTACTGGCCCACAAAGCGCCCCCAACTCGGCTTCTGCGCACCAGCCTCCAGCAGCGCCTGCGAGATGCTCGCGCTGAAGCCTCCCAGGAAGGAGACTCCCAGGTTGTAGCTCAGCGCCATGCCCTGAGGCCACTTTGGACGCCCCAAAAATATCTGGCATCTTTCTTGCGGGGGAGGGCAAGCCCTGCACACCGTGGGCGCACGCGGTTTTTGAACGTTTACGGGCCAATCGCGACAACCAGCGATGCCTGGCACCGCAACTTCGGCGGGAAGAGCTCCGCGCAGAAGAGGTACACTGTCGCCCCGTTGAAGCCCTGAGCTGCCCGAATCGAAGCCAGCGAAGCGAAAGAAGACAATAGAACCAAACCAACCAAATATTTCTTGTTGGTTCGGTAGGCAGGGAATGAAAAATGGAATGACCCCTATAAACATCCCTTCTGGTTTCCTTCAAGGGAATCCCCAGGTTCCTTTCCAACACCCGGAAGGTCATTCCCTGCTGAGCACCAGCAAACCTTCCAAAAAAGCCTTTCCCGCTTTCGGCGTTCGTCTCAAGTGCAGAACTTGCTTTGTCTCCTAAGGAGTCCGGAACTTGCTTTGTGTCTCAATATGTGTCAAAACGGACATTGTCAATTGCGTTGTGTCAAATAATTGAAAATGCTCATCAAAGCACCTGCACAGTTGTTTGTCAGCCTGTATTCCTTGGTCTTCTTTTGCGTTCCCAAACGTATTCCCGGCATAAATGCGAAACTGTGTGGGGTCGAAATGCTGCTCATGTTAGCCACCGCACACCTCACACGTACAAAAACCCTTGGCATTGGGAAAGGGCTCTGGCAAGTTTGCATGTCTAACATAATGCATCATACACGTTTACAAAATATACACACACACAAATCCATGTATCATAATATATGCATACATAGTTCTACCAACATCTTGCTTCCAGCATCACAGCCACCATACCGCAAACCAGCGCCTCCACCCCCTCCCGCCCCTCCTGCGCGACCCCGAAGATGATGCCCACCCCCAGGTAAGCCGCCAGGCGGGAGGCGTCGAAGCTGAGCCACACGTAGGTGGGGAAGGAGACGAGCGCGCAGTAGAGCGCCCCCACCAGCTGCACCCAGGCCACCCCAAAGTAGTCCTTCGGAAGTCAAGGGAAGTCGGCGGATGACTCATGCCCCAAATGAGCCAAGGGTCTTGGTGGCCAATGTTGTCATGTGGTGTCGTTGGCCGCCTTGCCAGTCAACCCCCTCCATGTCTTGGGGCATGGCCCCGGGTTAGAAGTGTGTTGTGGGAAACAACAAGGGAAATACGACCCAGAATGGAAGCTGGGAGAGGCTGCTTGCTGGATCCGAAACACAAAGCCTCCTAAACTGACTCCCAAACTGGCGTTCGGTGTAGCAGGATGACTTCGAAACCTCGTTGACAACTCGGTTGACTCAACCCCGTCCGCCAGGAGTCCCGCCAGGGGCGTCACTGCCAGGCCCACCAGCTGGCAGCTGTTGCCCACCCAAAGGGCGTCGGCGGCCCCCAGGTCAGACATCAAAGCGCTCAGGGTCCAGAAGGGTGGCGAGAACCTAGCAACACTTGCTCCCAACCCCACAAGCAACCCGTCGGCTCCCGCTTCTAACCATGCCTTCATCAATCTGATTGAGAGAAGTTGCAAAGAAACAGGAGATGTTGCGGTTTTTGCTTCGTTTGCAACCACGTTGGTTGCCGCTATTTCCAAAAAAAACTGCAACCTGCTCGCAAATTTGTGGTTGAACATTTTCTGTGTTCAAGGGAAGCTTCAATGAAAGAAAGAAAAAAAAAAAGAAACAACATGTGGAAATCACGTTTTGACCCTGTTGGTCGCCCTTTGAAGCAACCTGAAAAGGGCACCCTCGAAAAACACATGCATGCGTTCACACACACACACACACACACACACTCACGCTTATGGACTTCTGTGTCACTATGCGTCATCCAAGGCGCCACATGGTGGCTGTTGCCGCCACTGCCCCAATACCCACAAGCAGACTTCCCGGATGATTTCGAACCAGCTCCCCCACGCTGCAGACACTTTTGGTGTCGGACTCCACCTGGGCGAGCGCACAGGCAACCCCATCTCTATTATTTGTTGCCACCAAATGCAGTGAAACCCAGGGGGGCCCTTTTAGCGCGTGCCCCACTCCTGGGTTTAACTCTCAAATAGAGCAACCAAATGGAACCTTGCACTGTTCACTGTTCACCAATCGACTTTTGGCGTCAAGATGGGATGTCAAAAAGTAGGGGCCCCTTCTGGTGTGATGTTGCCCTTCATTTGAACGGGGTCCTAGAGACGGTCACTGTTTTGTTGATGAGTCGGTGAGCTGGATAGTGAAGCTTGGCAAAACAGAAAGCTGAAAAACAGTTGCTATGGTGTGCTTCCTTCTGTCACCAAATCGTTGGCTTCATGTTGAGCTTGTGCCTTTTGACAGCCTCATAACGGTGTCGTCTAGTTTTCGAAGGATTCTGCCATGCGTTTTGCAGCAATCACCAGGTGTTCACCAAGGTTGATGTGGGCCCCCACCCCAATCCACACCACAAGTGTGCATACGCTTTTGCTGGCCAACAACTAACAAATTCTGGGAGTGGTTTGGGACGCTCCCTCCGCCTCGTCGATGAAAACCTCGCTCTCCTGGATCCGGTTCCGTCCCCACATGGCAATGGCCTGGCCGGCACGACATGGGTGTGTCTTTGTCTTGCTGTTTGAGGGTGCTTTTTCAAAGGAGGAGGCCACCTTGTTGTGGGGTCCCCCCAACAAGGTTCCTTTCTTCTCCGAGCTCCAAATGTAGCTGCTGCCGCCCCCCTTTCGCCTGGCAGTGCGGAGAGCAGAAAGGGCACACGCCAGCCCCAGGTGAGCATCAGCTCCGGCCCCAGACACGAGTTCAGCAGCGCCATCAGTGCGCTGGCAAAGGCCCAGGCGATTTGGCTCCCAACGGAGATCATGCACACCGCCATGCCCAGCGTCTGCATCGGGGACACCTCCATCCTCACATCGGTCGGCCAAGGGCTTCGCGAAAACACTAAGCCAAAGAGATGAACAAACACCTGGCGTGTCCAACAGCCTGAGTGGCAAGCACGAGAGCACATGAAATCTGACAAGCAGACTCTTGTCTTTCCACCCACTCCAAATGCCCCGCGCGCTGCGGATCACTAGATGAGCAGGCGCAAGAAAGCCCTTTTACTGGGGAGAGCTTGGCGGTAATTTGAGAACAACATGAAGAATACATTTCGTTCATGACCAAAACACTTCCACCAAACTTCGCGCCCTTTCAAGCAACAACCGGCGCAAAGCCCCGCCAAAAGCGCAAACGAACCACGGAATAGTGTTTCGCCTAGTAAACCTTTGGGCAAACATGAAGGGCACCAAAGCGGATGAACTCATTGCTAAGGGAACATCCCGCCAACGGCCCCAGCCCCCCCACCCCCATCAATTCAGATCCGGAGCATGTAGGCCGCGATGGCCGCGATCTCACCCCCCGCGGAGATGCCCTGCACTGCTCGCAGGCAAATCAGAAGCACCAGGCCCAGCACCTGTCACATCCGCAAAAGGTAAAATGCCAAAACTTGCAACAATGGGATCCCCACGGCTTTCGCTCGTTCTACCCAGTGAACTGGCCCAAAACCTGCCCACGTGCCCAGAGTTCCGACGGTTTGCCGCATGTTGCGCCTGGAAGTTCTTCCCCAGGTGGGCCCCCGGCAGCAGACCTCGATGCAACCGAAAAGCCGTCTGAGGGCCAGCGGCGACACGTTGGAACCGAGGAAAAAAGAATGGCTCACAAAAAGTATGGCTGGTGCACCTGGAAGGATCCCCCTCTCCACGACCCAACACAAGAAACTCTGAAGAGATCTGACAAGGAGACATGGACAGGCCGTGATAAACAAGATGCAACAACACAAAAACACAGCAGACTGCCTCATGCACTCTGGCACAATCCTGTTTGCCTTGAGGCATTCCCTTGCCGACTGAAGCTTCGCTGTTGCCCAAATATGTTTCTTCCCCAACAGCTGAAAGCTTGGGGTCCCAGCCCAGATAGGCTCCGGGGTGGTCCGGGGCGGCCCTGAGGCACCAGGGTTCCACCAGGGTTCCACGAGGTTCTGCGAGGCTGCGGGGCGGTGCGAGCACTAAAAGGAGCACCGCATGCTGTTGGGGATATCACGTGAGCTTGTGCAAAATACTGTTTCCGCCCGCCTTGCCCAACGGTGGCAAAGACCATGCCCGCAAGGGAGAGGTTCACAGCAAGTTTCCGCCCGCAGTGATCGCCGATAAAGCCAAGGATGATTCCTGCACAAGAGCTGAAGCTTGTTCACACTACCGGTCTGCATGAGCCGCTCAGAAGCTAAAATAGAATCAAAAAAGCACGGCGGTTCCGGACACGGCCACCTCCCAAGGGCCGTGCAACAAAGGTGACAGCGTAGCCCAGCCAGGCGCCCATTGCAGATCCTCCAAAGAAATTGGCCGCGATCTCTTTCTCCACGTAGCTGTAGATGCCAAACTCGTACCACTCCAAAGTGTTTCCCAGCAAAAGCGGCCACGTCAACTTCAAGAAGGCCTTGGAGAATTCCCAGTACGTGTGGCCCGTGTGGCCCTTGCCCAAAGCTTGGCCTTTGGGATCAGCCTCCGATTGGATGGACTGGATGGACTCGATGCTGCCTTCCGACACCGGTGCCACAATGAAGTCCGTCATCTCTGGGCACTGGCCCAAACCTCTGAGCCTCAAAGCAGTCGGCAGTCGGCAAACAGCCATTGGACATCCTTCCTTTTTTGGCACCGGCCACGAAAAAGGACTGCACGTAGACTCCACCACTTGCACCACCAAAACTGAACAAGCAACAGCTCCAGCTGCGATGTGCAAAAGCTGCAAAACACACATTGTATTTGATGCAAATAGAGGTGTTACGCACCATCGATCCTCATCTGAATCCATTTCACTGCTTACCAAACCGTACTTTCATGTAGTTTTCACTTGGGTCAATATACAAAGCACTCTTTTCAAATGAGGTATTCACACACGACCATTCACAACGGCCAGGGAGAAAAACAATTATGCTGAGTTGGTGGGCCAAAAAAATGCACAAACCCATGTGAGAATTGCGTGTGCTACAGTAAGTCAGAAGTAGGCAGGCCCGGCATTCCCATTTTATTGTTTGGGATGTTGCGCCCGGATACTGTTTGGAAAAATGTGAGAACGACGAGATTTCCAAAAGCTCAGACACAAAACGACACACTCCACGATTTCTTGTTGTTTGCTTGGCGGCTCGAATTTGTTGCATGTTTTGAAAGCGCGTGAAAACCGTTGTGTATTGAAACAACGAAAACCAAAGTACCAGGCCCCATGGCGCCCATGTGGGACCTGCCATTGTTTTGTTTGCCTTTGAAAATTTAAACACTTGTGCATATTTGGGGGGAAAAAAGAAAAACATATATGTATATATATATATAGATACATGTTTTACAAATTGCTTGTAAGCGGACTTCAAGTCGTAGGTGCGACCCAAAAGCCTTTCTGCCTTGTACCCGGCCTTGCCGCGCTGGCCAAGCCCAGCGCTTTGTTCAGGCCACCTATGGTACAGTCATCTTGGCTCTCACTTTGGTCTTCTGCTGCAGACCAAACCGCTTTGCCAAAACATGTTTGCAGGGCTTTGCAAAAACGCGATTTCCTTCTCCGTCTGCTCCCACGTTTTCATAACCAACTCCGGCTCTGCGTCCAAGGCCCTTATCTGTTGCAGAATGGACTTGTTTAGCCCCTTCGCCATCATCTTCAAAGTCTCAACGCTGTACTACGGTCTACTAACCGCTTGGGAAAAGGCACCGCTTGGTTTCAGCCAACCAGAGCTAAAAGCCAGATAAGATGTTTCAAACGAGGTCTTGTCAGGGTGGCCCAGCTTTTGCAACATCTCCTGGAAAGCAAACGTTTCTTGTTGCTCATGAGCTGCGCCAAACGAACATGCATTTTTGGTTTGCAGTAGTAAGGAAAGCCAGCTTATAGGGACCGAAAAAAATGCGGTTTTGGCCCAAAAAGGACGCATAATCGGCACTTTTCGGGCCAATGTCATCACTTGTCACCGCATGTCATCGTCTTGTCATCGGCTTCCGCGGGGTGGAAAAAGGGCACAAAATGCATTTCTGCAACTTCTGAAAACCTCGTTCTCTCGCTTTGAGAGTTGCTCTGCAGGCTTACACGCCTTGATACCAGGGCATTTTTGAGTCAATATTGAATCATTCTTGACAAAGGCAACCCGAGCGCTGCAGCTGGGAGCTTCCTTGTCGCCGCCTGGATTCGAGCCCCGGTCCAGGGCGCTGCTGAAAGAGGCGCTACCGACTGAGCTACGATGTGTTTGGGTGACAAGGCAGCCAGCCGAGCTTGTCATCGTTTCTGTGACATGTGTCATTGTTTCTGTGGCACGCGTTGTCGTTTCTGCGTCTTATAAGTCATCGATTCCGCGATGTCATCGTTTCTGTGACAAATGTCATCGTTTCTGTGACAGATGTCATCGCAGCCTGGAGTCGAGCCCGGTCCAGGGCGCTGTTGGAAATTGTCTCGTGGTTCGCGCGCCTGCTTTCGCAATCCCGCGGTCGCGGGTTCGATTCCCCCCTGCCCCACGGCAGCTCCCGCTTGAAAATCGCAGCTTTTAAGTACAAACGTAGTACGCGGAGCGTGCTCCCGCAGCTCCGGCTGCATAATCGCAACTTTTAAGTACAAAAATAGTACGCGAAGTACATTCTCACAGAGTCACTTGCGCAGAGCAACTTGCGCGGAGCAACTTGCACAGAGCACTTGCACAAAGCACTTGCGCAGAGCAACTTGCACAGACCAACTTGCACAGAGCACATGCGCAAAGCGCTTGCACGGAGCAACTGGCGCAGAGCACTTGCGCACTTGCTCAGAGCACTTGCGCGCAGCAGCTTGCAGAGAGCAACTTGCGCCCAGCAGCCTGGAACAATGCAGCTTGCGCAGACCACTTTCGTGAGAAGTCGCGCGGCGCAGTTCGCGCAAAGCACGTTGCGCCGAGCAGACTCGTGCAGAGCCAACTTGCGCAGAGCCAGTTGCGCAGAGCCACTCGCGAAAAGTGAGCCAACTTTCACAGAGCCAAGCTGCACAGAGCCATCTTGCGCAGAGCTAAGTTGCGCGAGCGTGCTTTGCAGAAACTGTGGCCGTCGTGTAAGCTTTGCTATTGATTGCTTTTCCTTTTGCTTGTAATTCGTTTCGAGCTTTACGAGCTTCACCACTCTTCTTGTTTTAACGGATGTAGATATATGGGATCGAGCACTGCCACGCTTCCCCTCGTAGGACGATGAGATGGAGCTCTCATGTGACCATACACATTGAGCATCGCCGCGCGCAAACACGCTCGCCGCAGCGATGTAAAAAGGTGTCTCCGCGGCTGGCTGAGCAATTGGGGAAAAATGCTTTCGGGCCAATCGTCCTCTAGTTTTAATTTGGAACAGGAGAGAGAAATCAACTATGCAGCACAACATGTCCAGTCACCCACAACTGCCAGTCTCATTGTTTGTGCGATCGCCTTGCGAGCTGGGTGATCTTGTGAGTCGTGAAACTGTGGGGCTGGGCAAAAAAGGTTTTGAAGGGAGATGCGGCATGATCAGTGGGACAACTGGAAGGGCGCTATAAAGATTCGCAAGAACTGCACGACAGGAAAGTCTGGGGCTGAGGAAAATAAGTGTGGGGCCCAAAATGGAGCCCAGTCGCATCATTTGACCAAACTGGAGCTGGGGAAAAAGGTTTTGAAGGGAGATGCGGCTGAACAGTGGGACAACCGTGGAAGGGCGGCATAGACGCATGAGAGCTGCGCAAAAAAATGATTTTTTGAAACTGTGCGCGGGGGTGGGGAAAAAAGTCGGCAAATTGGAATCTGGGGCATTCTTGGATTCGTTATAGATTTAGGGCATGTGCAGTTTTATCAGGTTTCAAGTTTGTTTACCTATCCTTTCGGTGGCTTCAAGGTTGTCTTGTCGCGGAACTTGAGCCAAAATGGAGCCCAGTCCCATCATTTGATCCTGTGGGTTGAAACTGGAGCTGGAGAAAAAAATTGCGAGACAACTGTGGAAGGGCGCTATAGATTCGTCGTCAGGATGTGTGTCGACACGAGCTGTGTGTGGAAGAACGTCACACACACAGGAAAGCTGCAAGCTCCGTTCGCGGGTCTTTTGTCGCCTCGGACTTCTGCGCCGGCCGGGTCTTTTGCGGCTGTGTCTGCAGATGATGGGTAAACATGAGCACACAGAGGCTTCCGCACAGCAACAGCTATCAATTTCGTGTTTCTTTTTATAGACAGAACAGTTTGGTCAGCACACAATTGCACACTGGGTGAAAACTGTTCACAGCAAACAATCTTGTGCGCGGCGGCGGCGCAAGCTCTGGCACATCATATGCAGAATCAACAGTCCACAGCTGCATCATCTCTCTCTGTACTTGAAAAAGGGCTCGGGACGCGGGTCTCATTTCATTATCGCTCCATTTGCACTCACTGGGTCCGTAGTGACCGATTGGCATGACGCTGCGTTTTGCACAGTGTGACCCGGAACCACACGACAGAGAAAAAAAAGATAAACAAATATACGTCAGCGCGTGGAGTTGAGAAGCCTATTTGCGCCATCCACGCTCAAAGAAGTTCCCCTTGCAGCCAAAGACTGCCTAGCGTAGATTCACTGTGATCCACATGCCCTCGCCATCGTCCCACATGATGAACAGCTTCTCGCCGGGCGCTGCAAATTCTGTGCCCTTTTGGCATTCCCAGTAGGAATGTTGGTTTACTTTGTCTTGGTTAGCATAAGTGTGTGGCTTGGCAGAAAATGACACACAGCCCTCGCCGATGCGCAGGCAATAAAGTGTCACACACCCACATGCCTATTCTTGCCAACTGCCTAGATGTTTCCCTCGGGCGAAGCATTAAGCAACACTGGATGATTTACAAAAAGCTGTTTGGAAGTGTGTGGGATGACCAAAAAAGGGTTGATTGGCTTTGGGCAAACTTGGAGATTTTGGGCATGGAAAAGGTCCGAAAACATGCTGCAATAGTGTTTGCTGCCCGTGCTGTGACCATCATTGAGAGTGCTGGTGTCTTGCGCAAGGGCGTTCCAGCAAGACTATACCAACGCACATGGCTTATACCAAGAATCCAAACCCACTTTTGCATCAGTGTTGCCGAAAAAAGCGTCGCAAAAGCACTGGGACATGTGCCCAGACTGCTAAACAAGTCGGCACATAAGAATCCGGGCATTAGATTTTAGATTTAGGACATTTTCAAAAAACATTCAAACTACATCCAAACTTCACTCAAACTGCAAAAGGACACTCAACCTTCATTCAAACTTCACTCAAACTTCACTCAAACTACACTCAAACTGCAAAAACTTCACTCAAACTTCACTCAAACTTCACCCAAACTGCAAAAAACTTCACTCAAACTGCACTCAAACTGCACTCAAACTGCATTCAAACTGCAAAACTTCACTCAAACTTCACTCAAACTTCACTCAGACTTCACTCAAACTGCAAAACTGCACTCAAACTTCACTAACACAGTGGTTTGCAGTTTGGGTGAAGTTTGAGTGAAGTTTGAGTGAAGTTTAAGTGAAGTTTGAGTGAAGTTTTGCAGCTTGAATGTAATTTGAGTGAAGTTTGAGTGAAGTTTGAGTGAAGTTTGAGCGCAGTTTGAATGTGGTTTG